AGGTGATGAAAACAAGCCTGCTGCTCACAGTGCTCCCTGCTCACGCACAAGGTCTCCCACACAACAAAGATTAACCTATATAAGCATCCACACTTTGTTACACTACAGTTGTTGCAATAAAAAAAAAAATGATGACGACAATGAAAAGCTATTGTTTTCAGTTCGCTTCTAGAATTGCGCATACCCTTACTAAATGTGAAGTATAGAAAACCATTACGCAAGATTTTACTTTTGGTTTAGGTTGTCTGATGTGTAATTAGGATCTTTTAGTCATTCCAACTTCATTCACATTCACCAACACCAAAGGGACAATCCTGACATTGGGCTGATTTTCCTGCCACGCAGAGAGAAATGTCAGCATAATCCATGATGCAGCCATATTAACTGGTCCAATTTGAGGGTGGAGCTGTAAGGGGTTAAACCTTACTTTGTGGGCAATTTCTTTTTGGTTACGCCAAGGAATCCTGCGCCTGGATTATATTCACGAGGACACAATATCCCCCAAACTACACCCCAGATGTTTCAGAATCCCAAAGAAAGATCCGGAAAATTAATTAAGGCTGCGCTAATAAAACAATATCTCATTTAGCGCTGCCAAATAAAGAAGGCGCGTTGCCAAACAAAGAGTGTCGTCAACCTTATTTTTAATCCACTTGAGGGTCGCTTGCGATGCTGCGACAGAGTTATGAATAACGGCGGCCTATAAAGCATTCGCACTTTTAGGAAGAAATGTGTAATTTACCAAGCTCCCCCGCTGTGTCCAGCCACATGAGCCTGAGATAATTACTGCAAAGCCTTGGCAAACGCCTGCCCAACAAATCCTCGTTGGAGAACATGACCCATTTAGAGGAGATGCTGAGAATGTCTAATCAATACATAAATCTTTGCAATCCGTTAGTTGATCGAGAATGACAAGCCCTGGTTGGCCACCCACGTGGAGCACATGAGGGTGATTGGTGGTTGTTTGTGTTAAACGGTGACACCGACGACTCAGAAGAGCAACCTCTTCCTCTGCTGTCACCTCTTCTTTCATTTTCAGCTTATATAAGTCCCAGTGCCCTTTTGGAAAAACTATTCAGAAGGTTGACATGTCTATTTCCTCTTTTCTACAGAGGAATAGAAGGGAGAGAGAGAGAGCGAGAGAGAGCCTTCGATTTGAGTATGATTCCATCTTTCCAAAACACAGATGAAGCTTATCGTCATAAAAGCAGTTTTAATTTGAATATTCAGATCGACGTTGCCATAAAGTTAGATTCCTATCAAATGATATCAACGTTATCTTTTCCCTGTGGCCTGACAAAAGCTGATTTTTATTGTGCACCATTCAACTGCAATTTCGTGGTGAAAGAATAATATTGAATATGTAAATAAGAGCTACACATTAGCTTTCCGTTTTCATTGTAGAGGCTGCGACAGGAGATAAAAAATGAAACTTTGCAAACTATACAGTTTGCCTAAAAGGCATTAACATGTTAAGATACTATTTATCGACGTGTTTTTAGGATGAGGCTTGTGTTATCAATCTTAACTGCTCAGAGTGTCTGACTTTTGAAGCAAATGTGAAAACGGAGACATCTAAAAAAAAAAATGCCAAGAGCTTCCACTGCAGGTCAAAAGTAGATGTGCAGACAAACTCAGGATGACCGTACATCACATCATTAACAAGTCATTTCCTGACTCAGTGCGATCTAAGTCTGGTCGAGGGAGCATTTTTTTTTGTTTGTATCCTGCTGTTACATTATATACTGTGTGTTAAGAAAAAGGTAAATAACGTCTGCGGATGATTTCAAAGTCTGAGCTAAAAATAAATCTGTCATTGCATTTTTGAAAGTACACTTTATAAATAGTTAAAGCTCCACCACTGACCGCTGACCTTTCTTAGAGGGAGCCGTTCAGTGGTGCGCTACCCGGTTCCTTCCTCATTCTGATGATCAAACACACCACTCGGTGTGTGTTGAGAAAGTAAAAGTCTCGCAAGAGGAGACGGTTCAGAAATCCCCACCTCGCGTTTTCCTGGAGATGCGAGGCATTGCGTAAACGCAAAGCAGAAGCTGATGGGAATGAGGCCTAAGGGAGCGATAACGTGAGCGCATAATAAGACTCCTCTCTGTTTGGCTCAGCAAACCAGCTGCACAGATTCTGCTGTTCATATAGCAGATGTCTCTTTGTAAGTTACAGTGATGCTGGAGAGATGTTAGAGCAGTGTTTCCCAATCCTGTCCCCAGGGACCCACAGATGCTCCACGTTTTTGCTCCCTCCCAACTCCCTGCCAGACAGTCCACATTTTTGCTCCCTCCCAACTCCCTGCCAGACTGTCAACATTTTTGCTCCCCCTTCAGAATCCTATTGAGACTGCCTGTGGGTCCCCGAGGACCAGATTGGGAAACACTGTGTTAGAGGGTCAAGGGTGGCTTGTGTGGCAACAGCGCTCCAGGCAAAATCACCGTTGCTAAGTTGGAGGAACCGTTCAACTAACGCCAATAACGACCTCCTCCTTGCCAAATCACCTTCCACTCCTCCTCCTCTCTCTCTGCTTGTTGCATGTGCATGCGGGACCTTGAGTTCGCACGTGTGCATTGCTGTGTGGTGAATTTAGTGGTCCCCATGTTGCCTTCGGGGCACTCTGAGTGGCGTTCAGAGATAAGCACACTTTCAGCAGCCCTTAAGTACAGTTACTTGAGGAAAAACTTCACAGCCAAAGCAGGAAAAAAAAGGCAACACAGTGCATTTAAAACTGACATTTATTATATTCTTCCTGAACATATATACATTTAACCTGCTTTGTGTAATGCATTGGAACTTGTCCTAAACAGAAATATGGGCACAGAATTGTGGTTTGATGAGTGTTCACAATGAGAAGTAAAAAAAATTATAAAGTGTCTAGAAACTGACCAATGAGATTAATGGGGGGGGGGATTTTTATTGACTGCATTTATTTTTGGAAAATAACAGGAAAACTATAAATGACTGGCTGCTATGGAGCCTGACATTGAAAATAAAACAGATGAGTAATATTTCATAATGCATCTGAATGCATTAGTCAGAGCTTAAGTGAAGAAGAGGCGTTTTAAATCCCATGTTTGTTAAAATTACGCACTTATTGTGCCGTGTGCTTCAAAGAATCAGTTTTGCTGACCTTTTTGAGGAAGTTTAGGGTTCAGTGACCTGTAGAACTAGAATTAGAGTTGATAAAACGCTCAACAAAATAATACACTGTGCCAAGTTTCGTGTTTTTTTCTTTTTTTTTTTTCTTCATTAAACTTGTCATTTTAGACTTCACACCTTAAAAGGCACATTTATCCAGAAACTGAAACAAATTACTTCCATTGCAGCAGAATGACACCCCCAATATACATGAAAAGCCACCAGATACGTTTAATGGCACGTCGTGTGAGAAGGTACCGGAGTGCCCTCCTTGCCCCATGTTCACGTCTGAACAGGAATATGAAACCTGCTGTGTTCGCGTGGGTGTGCGCTCCGCCGGCTTGACGGAGAGAGGTGGAAGCCTGCATTTTGGAACGTGACGTATGGGCATCACAGTTTGCTATGTTTAGCTACTGGAGCAAGCGGCAGAGTTCGCTCAGGTGGGTGATTTGACTTTTTTCCCCTTCATCTTTATTTGAAGGCCACAACCTCCATGTTACCCAGACTGATGGCGGCCTGAGTGAATGATACCTTTTTTTGGCAGATCAGGTGTTGTGCGCACGCACACACACACACACACACACACACAGTGCTAGGGCTGAAATCCAGAACTGGATGCTTTATGGAAATTAAACATTTTCAATTTGTCAATATTTATTCTGCTGTCCTGTGAGGAAATACCTCACCTTATTTTGACATATTTTGCGTTTATGTTTCTGCTGCTGTGTCCAAATGAGTTACGCTCCTGCGCTGCGGATCCTCGTTATTTCTCGAGCTCAGTCGCCCTTCTCCGGGATGATGCTGTCATCATTCAGGAAGCTGGTGACTGCGAACTTCACAAACTTACTCAGTGTTGGTATTATAGAACTCGGTATGGCAAAATGCAGGACTAGAGCAGCTAAGCTAAGAGCAGATCAGCAGAAACCGCAGGGGAATCGGGTACTGTGAGGCTTACTGATATGGACTTGCAGCCTTATGGTTGTTCTTTCAAGTCCCATGAGGTGGCCTGATGTAGCACCATTTAGAAAAGTACCCAGCCTGAAATACAGTAATGAAATATATGATCTTATAAAAAGATTTGCATATAACATTAAACATCCATCCATATTTTGTAACTACTTATGCATTACAGGGTCATGAGCGTGAAACCTGTCCCATTAACCTGGAATGGGATGGGATGGTCAGTTAAACTGAGCTGACCAGTGAGAAGCTGGCATTCAGACGGCTACTGGAAAATGCTGGTTGGTAAAAGTTTGTGGCATGGTGCAGCATGCAGACAAATCCCCATAACCCCAAGGTCTACCCCCCCCCCCCCCCCACCCCAACTCAGTAATGTCAATGCATCTTGAGTCCAGCAAAGGGTTGTCAACTTTGGTCAGCTGGTTGGAGTGAGAGTTTTTTTAAATTCAAAATGAGACTGCACACACATTTACATGTATGTAACAGTTTTATTACCTTGTAATTAGTCTGTAGGGTTTGCAAACTACCCCAACACTTTTGACGTAGCTAATTTCAGGTTTATAATGCAATAGCGTAGATTTGCTGTAAGATTTCTTGCGTGAGCGTCTGAAAGTGGGAGTGTCATGCCAAGCGTGTGAGAGTTGGCAAGACAGAAGGTTTCCTTCGTTGCTGTGCAGAACCGGCGAGGTGGCGGCAATTTTTTGTTTTTAAATTTGAGTGCACTGAAATGGCGTATGATTGCATTTCAGCCACAGTGGGGGCAGACCGGAAGCAGCGCGTGGCGACCCGACGATGGAGCGGCAGTGTGGTGGATGCTGGTGCAAAAGCTGTACTGTTTCCAGAAGGGGAGGGGGCTGGGCTGGGGTAGGAGGCCTGTAGGCATGGGCTGGGGAAAGCCCCCCTCACTTCACGCTCAGTGCGAGGTTAAACACAAGCTGAAATACAGTACCGAAGACCTCAGAAAGGGCATTTCCACTTGGTTAAAAATGCTTCATCTAACCCGCATGATGTTTAACCTCACCATAAACCTATAGTACTTGCACTAAACATGCTAAACTGCACTCTGAGCCCAGGTTTGCAAAACAAGTCGACTGACGGTTAGTGTTCCCCCTGGTTTGCACGTCGACATGTGAGGAGTGTCTCAGCATGTCTGTCAGCTTGTGTCACCAAAGCGAACAGAAAAGGAAAAAAAAGAACCGTAACCAAAGTCTTAGGGTTTTTCAACAAAACTGCATTTTCCCGCAGTGCCATGTTCACTGCCAGTGTCATCAACTGTAAATATCTCCTCTGCAATATCAGAATTTGGCTTCCTGAAAACAAACCACTATCTTGCACAACAGCTTGTTGATGAATGCCTGAACCCGATGTTATGTTCCAGCAGCATTCTTAACTGCTATGCCGATTATTACCTATTCATCTTTCAGGCTAAAACTTTGACTCTGGGATAAACGATTGTGTGTGTTTTTGAAAGAAGCTGCCATCTCTTACTTCAAGGCTTTGGCTTGTAATTCTTGAGGGGGGAACAGCTTTCTTACATGAACAGCGAAGGTGAAGGCTTTACTCCGCAATTGTCTTGCATCCCAAAGTGTTTCAGTGACTTGTGCGATGATTCCTGATGTTATAAAAAAACTTTTAGCAGTGATGGCGGTCTTCTGACCTCATGAAAAACCGAGAGCCATGTCGCCAAGTCCTGAAACAGTGGGCGCAGTAGCTTGTGCAACAAAAACAGGAAATCAGAATCCATACAAGCCGGGGTTATGATAGCTAGCTGGGCAGATCTGCAGCGAACGATCGCGAAACCATTCTGTCACCACGCCATGCTGCTTCTTAGACGGTTTTTATAAGCAGGACGACCCGAAAACTGTTAGCGTGTTGAAAGGCTTCAGCATGTCGTGGGGCAATATTTGCCAATTGTTTCCAAACACGCTTTCTCTCTTCTAACCTCCCTGCCGAGTCATTGGGGTTGGTGTCAGCACAAATGACATTTAAAGGAGAAAATTGAAGGTGTTAGGCTTCTTTAGAGATCCATATTTGAGTGTTCAGTGAGGGTCTGAAACTTGCAGGTCACTTGAACACTTTTTTTCATTCAGTTACCGTCCAACTCATAGGTATGGAGTGGAATGATTCATCAGTTGTAAAACCAGATCAAGACACACAAGGGAAAATGACTGAGTCAGACTCCCGGTCATTCTGACATTTTGTTGTTTTGTGTCTTATAACAGCACTGACATGCAGCGTGCCAAGTCTCTCCTCTTCTGAGCTAATACATCAAGTTCATATTCACGTGGCTATTATTAATTTGTCATTTTATTTGAAATGCCACAGCGAAGTATGAGAGGAGTGGACAGTACAAGTACTGCAGATCTGGAGATGATGTCAAAGCCTGGAAATGAGGGAGGTGGAAATTTTGTAGAACCTGTGGAATAGGCTGGCTGCCGTCCGCCTTACGTCTGCTGCCCTTGCTGCCTTTTTCCCCACCTTGCTCACCCTTCCTGGGCCTCCTCGCCCCTGAGAGGTCAAACGTGTCCACGCCCGGTTGGGCTTGGTGTGTGTGACCTAAATCGGCACAATGGTGAACCATCAGCCTGAGGAAATTGTGCCTGTTGGGCTTGTTTTGGTGATTTTTTTACACCTCAGATTCTAGTGCCGGTATGCTGACGGTGCCGAGTGACTGTAGAAACATGATCTTGGCTATTTCCTGTTTTAAACATCATCACAGGACTAAGGATAAATTTAGTTACTCACTGTCTACTCCCTAGTAGTAGCTAAACGATTCAAGTATAATATGTATGTATAATAAGCTGTCGACTTTTTGTGATAAAGGGACATTTAAGATGTTCTCCTGCATGCTTGTCAATTCGTCTGCTTGTCTCTTTTTTTGTTTGATCCCTTGCTGACATTTCTGTGCCACTGGCAAGAGGGTCACGACTGTTTGTTAATGTGTTTCTGGGCTGTCCTGTGTCGCGCCCCAAAGGAACCAGAGGCTCCGGTGAGGCAAGTTACTCCCTGTGAGACACACACATACACACACACACACACACACACACACACACACACACACTGCGGGTCACGTTAGGCCACGAGAAAAGGAAACAGACCCAACTTACAGGGCAAGGAAACCTTTTTCAGCAAATCAAGATAAAACTCTAAAATAAAAAAAATGGCTTTTAAAAAGTATGAACTGCATTATGGATCAAATGATTAATGGCTGAGTGGCTGAATATGATAACGATGATAAATATTATCTTTACTAAGCCTTAAGCTGGGTTCAGATTTCTTAAAGAGCATTTAAAGAAATTCTCTCCCTACAGGCACTTTTCTGAAAGGAAAATAACATTTCAAGTGGGTGAAGGTCAGCTTGCCCTAACTTTGCTTTCACTAAAAAAGGAAAATATACAGATCATCTTTAGCTGAAGCAGTGTGAACATGTCTTTAGTCACGATCGGCCAAACAGATCCGAGACTAGTGAGAGATTTAAATCAGAAATGTGTTGTGATAAGACAGACAGTGTTTCCTGATTTTCCCCACCAATTTTCTGGATCTTGAGAGCCTCCGTGCAGCTGCCTGTCACATGAATGCTGCAATGTGCTGCGATGTGAATGGGAGGCCTGTTGGACGCTGCGAGAACGCCAGTACTGCAGGCTGGGCAGTCATGGCAGGCGTGTGCGCATGTGCGTGTGTGTCTGCGCATGGAGGCTGAAGCCTGCTTGTACAGCTGCAACCAGGCCAGTCCAGACAAATCGGAGCTTGCCGAGCAAGGATATGTATGCGTCTGAGTGGGTGGGGAGGGGCGAGGCCCTCTTGGCGGAATGCGGAATCCTGAGTGTGGCAGGACTCTCCTTCACGATCAGCCAGACAAGGTGCCACCTGCTGGTTTGAAGTGAACACCGAAAGTGTGTGTGTGTGTGTGTGTGTGTGTGTGGGTGTGTGGGTGGGTGGG